ATTTGTGAGCAGGTAACCGCTTCGTAAGAAAAGCAATGATGCGTTTGTTTGTTACTAATCATCTCAGATACAACCGCACAGCCGAGGAGAACAATGTTCAACATTCGATTGAAGTGCCAGTCAGCGTGCAACACGCCACGTGCTCTGTACAAGCAATAAAATTCTTTTACATCCTTTGCTAGCAGTTGGAGAGCCTGTGCGGTGACTGCAATCATCAACTTTGTTGAACGGTACGGTAACTCTGTAAATGCTCTGCAGCGTTTTTAGTGCCATTCGAGCAGCGCAATTGTTCGGTTCTGCACTCTAAGCATAAAATGTGTGTGTTTGTGCTGAATTGTCCTCTAACCCTAACCGTGTTCCCATAATAAATGGGGCAACATATTCTTACCGTACAGTTCCGATGACCAGACCTAAGCAAAGCGACCCCTTCATGGAGTAACAGGGCACTTCGCACAGGGACAGCTTACTTTTTACGAAAAGTACGTTTACTTATCTCCTCATACAACGGTGCCTGAGCGGGTCTTTCTCGTCTGCTGGGACCGGCCGCAAAAGCGACCTTGGCCCCACAGCGACCTTGGCCCCAACAGCAATTCATTTCATGTGCTATGAAGAGATGGCAACTTCTAGAACGCTCCTAACCATTTCTTTGGTACAATAGCAGATAGGCATGACCACTCCCTTTCAGGAGAGGATACACGTCATGTATTCGATAAACACTTTCATCGTTTGCACCGTACCATTTGCTGTCCTTTTTAACTACCGCCACGAAATGTCCTGCATCAGCCCCTCCATAGTGCATTATAAATGACAGAAGGGTGTAGCACCGCGAATTGATCCGTATGTCTACATCGATGTCGGTCCCTGCCGTGTTCTTTTTCGTGACACGCCGTTCTGAATCAAAAATAGTGCGCTCAATGCGCAGTACGATGATCTGAGGACCGGAAGCACATCTCATGAGCGTGATATCAGCATTTGCTGGTTGGTAAACGTGTGTGCACCGTACAACCGTTAGTCCTCTCACGTCTTTCTCAAAACTATCGGACAAGGCAAGTTGAATGTTTACCGATGTTCCAGGTTCTACGTTTAACATGCAATTGCACTCGGTGTGCACCACTGCTGCAGGCCTGCCGCAAATGGCGCACACCGCGATTTCTTCCATGGCAAAAATGAACGGACACTCGACATGGATCGAGTGCAATTCGGCTGAGCCCCGTATTTCTTCCAGCAAATCCATCAAAAATTCTGCTGCATCGTGCTGTTCAACCGCAAAGACGTTGCCATAGGGACGCAGCTTCTCCGATACCTCACATAATGCGATGTACTGGTCCAAAATGTTTTTCTCGTTTTGTTCCATCAGTTCGCGGATTGTTCTGAGCAGTTCTATGCACCGGATGTGCCTTAGACAGTCCAGCATGATAAACTGCACGAAACTTGGGCTTGCGAACAGCATCTGAATCAAAGCATTGAAGAAGCAGTTTGAACGTGTGTTTGACAATCCTGTTGGTGCAGAATCATCGTTTTCTGCTGATACAGGGCCAGAACTCACCGTTGATACGCATCGAACTATTTCTGGAGAAGTGCTTTCCATGACCTTCGAAACTTTGCCAATCATCGCGGACCTTGCAGCACCTCGTATTCTTGAGTTATGCGTGTCCGCAGCAGGCACGCTTGTACGTGCATCTTGGTCCGTATGAGCAGCTATCTTTGGCGGTACGTTACCAATCAAATACCTGTTTTTCGTGGAATAACGGCGCCTGCATGTGCCAAGGCAGTCCTGCAACGCAGATGGTGTGCCATTTGCTGCTTGTGCGTGGTGCCAATTCAAAGCGCCAGCTCTGTTCTCCTTCAGTCCAAGATCACCGATTGGTTCGTGAGAAGAATCAACGCTGAAACCGCTCTGCTGTGGCAGATCAGGCACTTTCACATTCTCACATTCATATGTTCCGCATCGAGCACACGGAAACGCCATGCACCGCATATTTTGCGGCCGAGCTAAGGCCCTTTCGAATCTCTGTTGGATTGGATCGTAAGATGGCACGTTCATCACGATATCGTAGCAATCTGACCCTTCTACCTGGTCGTGATCAACTAACATATTTTCTTGTGCGTAGCGATCAGCTCTCCATTTCAAATCTGCCCAGCAACTGCATCCATCTTGATGAAAGATTCGATTGCCCACTTCTTCTTTGCTATCAAACACTTCTCTGCTGTTCACATCCGAACCGTCCGTACTCTGCAAACGCATCCCTGCACGATAAGCACCCAACTCTTCGTAGTTTGTGCTAGCAATTGCACCCATCACTGCCACACACCATAGCACAGATCTAACCATTCCATTACCGATCAATGCGTATTTATGCTTTAAATATTTTTAAAACGTCAAAATGCTAAATTAGGCTTATTTACTGCCAAAACAATCAATTTATGCATTTTCTGTAAATCATGGCTTGGAACAAAAAATAGCATTTTCAACATTTAAAACTATTCCAAACACCAACAGCTTTTCCTGCGCAGCACTACCTTGAGCTGCATATGTCTGCGTACAAAATGCGATTGGTAAATTTGATCGTTCATGCAGAACAGCGGTATAACTAAGCACTGCAGTTTGCACCGTTTTAGTTTGTTTATTTTGACCGCACGTAGAGTACGGTACGGCCATGCACACCGACACGTGCAAATGCAGGAATACGGCATGTCTGCGTAACATACGGTTAAGAAACACGTACTTTATGATTTGTACGTCTTGTAAATGCGTAGGTACGTGGTTGCCATACCTGTGCCTTAGTATGACCTAAGCTGCGGTACGCTTTGCGTATCAAACGTGCCATTCCTACGTTTTACAATTACTTTCCTCAATCATGCGTTACCTGCAGTTCTTTGTAAAATAATTTGATACGATCGTAGTGTTCTCAGCACAAATCCTTAATTTGCTACGATCGTAGTGTTCCCAACACAAATCCTTAATTTGCTACGATCTACCACGTTCTCAGCACAAATCCTTAATTTGCTACGATCGTAGCACGCACTACGTCAATCAACACCTGCCATGTTTGAATAAATCAGAGCGATAAATGAGTTTTACGCTTGACAGGAATTTGACAGCTCAACCGGACAAAAATACCTAGAAAAGCGTGAGTACCGTGCAGCAGCGGTCAAAATGAATTGATCACTGAGTGTTGATGCATTTGTTCGTTTATTTGCGATTTATTTTTTATAATTTTGTTCTCCTGGCGGTAACAGGATCTTTACCAGAACGCTTCCTGATTCGTACAAAGACCCACAAACAAACGTAAGTGAACCACAAATGCTCACATAATGGTGCCTTAGTGGCGAAAGGGTGTGTGCCGTACCAAACATGTTTTGACCTGAATTACCTTAGAAACGGGTAAAATTGAAAAAATTGTGCATACGATGCGGCATGACCAATGGCAGAGAACCTGGTGCGCATTTTTGTGATGAAAAGTGTTTGATGATGGCAGAACAGTTACGAATCGAAAGACCTTGGTGGTTCAGGATTAAGCAGAATGCTTAATTTCTGGTCAAATGCAGAGCACGAAATAGACCTGCTTAGCCAATGCTCCAAATTTTAGAACGGTCAAACCTAGTGTTGCCCTAATCTGCCATGTATCGGAATGTGGTACCATACTTTATCTGATGGTGGTACAGGCAGGTGCTACTTTACCAATTTCTTTTTTCCATGGCATTTACAATTCCGTAAATCGTTCTTACATTCCCGGTTTAAGGAGTAAAAATTTCTTTGCTGTTCATTTTACGTGTATTGATGGTGTGGCAGGGTACGTAGTACCACATGCATTCCTGTTCGTTTACTTGCGCAAATTTGATGTGACAGTGGATCGAAAGCGGATCACACCAAAGAATATTTGTTAGATCGCATGAGCACGGTAGGCTTGATCAGCAACAAGGGTTGACCTGACGTAGGGGCTAAACCACAGGAACGCACGATCGAGATGGCTCAAACCATGCCATTCAACCATAATCTACCGTTTAAATTTTGCTTATGCTCGGTACTAAAGAAGCTTTTACGCTCGCAGGCACATTTCCTATAAACTCGCGCATTTACCTCCTCAGAAAGGTACAAACGGACACAAATCGTTTTACACTCGTGTGCAGCCTTTTATACGTGAAATGTGTGAAGAGCATTTACGTATTTTGGACATGGAAAGCTCATTTTATGGTAGAACGGGTTTATTTGTTGTTCTTGGCTAGCTGCTGACCATCCTTTCGATCCACATCGGAAAACAAAACGAGTACACTACGAAAGAGACCACCAACCTGGCAAGTATGCAAAATGTCATGGAATGATACGGCCCTTCACCATCATCAATCCATTCAACAAACCACGAAGTAATGCTGCCCAGTTCGATGCCCATGACCCAGAGGAAAATATACAGGAAAACTACAAAATTCTTCTTGTACACCGGCATAAGTGGGCCAACAGCCATAGCAACCTTTCCAAGCGTGGAGTAGCACATGGGCATGTGGCACAACCACACGAACAAGAACAGCCTGCAGCATTTCTTTCTTTTGTAAACGATTTCCACCACCATTTTGTACTCGTTCGATAGCAGCGTGTAGTTGCTGTCATATAGCCCAGATATTTTCTCGTAGAGCGTGGGCAGGAACTTTTGTCGCTCGGTTGACGAAATTTCGAGCGGCAGTTTCTTCGCCTTGAGCAGCAGGAAAAGTTGGGCGGTGATCAGAAGGGCAAGGGCGCTACGAAACGGCAGGAACACGCCGAACAGATAGCCTAACATTTCAGAGTAGAACATCATGCACACGTTTTCTATCTGGCCAGCACTGAGGCACATCTGCAAAGAAGTGTTGTAGCATACCGTCATTACACCACCATAGACCATATAGGCTATCAGCCTGCTGTTCAACAGCCAACTAATCGCGTGTATGCCCGTTAAAATGACAAGCTTGTTCTTCTGGGCAATGGGGAGCATACAAAATGGCACGAACAGGAGCGAACAAAGGAAATACAGCGGCTTGATGGGATGTGCAGAGATATCGAGGGTAATGCTCAAAATAGGTATTGAGTAGACAACGAGCATGTGACGAAGAGCTATTGGTGTGCTCAAAGAAACAACGTTCATGTCTGGTGCCAAATTACTCGTTTTAAATTTTGCTTCATAACTGTTTCATATTAGTGATGCTTCGGAGACGGCTCATAAAAATTGTTAGAATAAATTAAAACATCAATTTTGCACGCTCATTCGTATGAAAATGCTACAATTCATTCGTAACGGTCGTGCCTGCAAAAAGGAGCGGTGACGAACAAAATCGCTCTAAAACATTTTTGGGCGGGAACACAAAGAAATCAAAGCTTCCATCGGGTTGATCAGCGGTGAAATCGTGAACGAGAAATGACGTACTGTGACTCAAAACAATCCTATTTTGATACGGGGTAGCGGCAATAAACACGTACATGTCCTTGAAACTACGAAGTACCGCATTTGGTAGAGACGCATCGTTTTAAAAGGACACAAACGAACAGAACTGATCGGACCAAACCTAAAGATAAAAAATACAACCGAGTTGCAAAATCAAACTCGATGGGCGGCAATTAACCGCGTGCAAACCTTCTATGGCACAGTTTTACTTTCACTCAGGAACACGCGTGAAAATGTGGTATGAACCCGCGTGCTCACGCATACCAAACCAGGTAATATTTACATCATGCATCGATCGGACAGCACAGCTCCACGGTTACATCTGTGCCTGTCTTTGTTAATTCACATTTTCTGCTATTTGTGGTGTTTGTTCTTGAACAGACTGAACAGCTGGCGTGGCATGAAAAAGTACACCATGCTTATTAGCGGGCCCACTATGCACAGCAGGAAGAACGGCCACAGCTTCTTCTCATCCTGAAACGGCACAGGAACGTTCATCCCCCACAGACCAGCAACCGTCTGCATGGGTAGGAAAATGAACGTGATTATCGTGAACCGCTTCATCACCTTGTTCATTTCGTTCCCCTCACGCGACTGCTCCATGTTGACAAGCGCAAGGAAAAGGTCCTGGCACCGCTCAAGCGACTTGCTGTTCTCCTTCATTTCCTTGTCCACCGAGAGGAAGTCCTGGTACGTGAAGTAGATGTGCTTGAGCACGCTCTTCCTCAGCTTCCTGCCATACTTGTTTATGATGCTGTTCAGGATGCTTATCTTCGGCTTGGTGGATGTCCGCAGGCTGAAGAGGCTGTTGGTGAGCAGGAAGTTCTCCTTCAGGACACTGCCGATCCTGTCCACCACAAAGTACGAGTTGTTCTGCATCGCGGTCACCTCAGGCACCATCAGCTCGAGCAGAAAGCGCACGTCCTGCAGGAACTCGAACAACGATGCTGAACAGCACCCACTCGGGATACACCGTTGTGTACTCGGAGATGAGATTGAGGAAGTTGAGGATGTCGCTGATGCTGTTCCACCGCGTGTCGTGCAGCGTGACGATGAAGTTGCGGAACAGCAGGATGTTGAAGTCGATGTCAACGCTTTTGATCTTCTCGTTGTCGTTGGTGTTCTGTGTTTCAGTCTCTGAGAACAGCCTTGTGCTGACGAACGTGTAGTTGTGGAAGAGTTCTACCTTTTCCTTCGTGTTCTTCTCCCGTATGTCGTTCAGCGTTATGTCGTGCACCTTGAAGTGCCGCCCGATGTCGATCAGGTCCTTCTCGGCGGGGTCGAAGATGCTCAGCCAGTAGCACCCCGATGCGCGCTCCTCAATCTCGCGGAAGGTGTCCGTCTGGAACATCCCGGTCTCCTTGCTGTAGAACAGGAACTTCGCCTGCTCGATGTCCTGGTACCGCTCGAAGTTGTAGAACTTGCTCGGCTGCCGTTCAGTGGCAAGGGACATTCCGCTGCTGCGCCCGGACGGTTTGTCGCTGTCGCCGTTCTCTTCTTCCCTGTTTCTCTCGTCTCTGTAGTTCCCTGTCTCGTATGACCTGACGAACTGCTCGCTCGTGTCTCTGCCCGCTCTGTGCGCTGCACTGACCGAAACCGTGCTTTCGTCCTCCCCGTGCCCATTGCCCGACATGCCTGCGCCATCGGTATTTGTGTATGCTGCCGTGCCGTTCTGTGCACGGGCATCCGCCATCATTTCGTACTCGTCCATTCTCTCGTTGTTCTCGTCCTCGTTCACCACGTTCAGCATTTGTCTGTAGATGCGCTGGTTTTCTCGGCCCTTCTTCATCCTCCTGTAAATCGTTATGATCTCTGCGATGTTCCGCGAATTTGACGCCATGATGGGCATCTCCTTTTTTCGTTTTATTACGCCGACTGGCTGACCCAATAAGACATGCGGGCGCAGACGCTGCCCGTGTTTTGCTGTGTACCGTGCTGGCAGTGCAGATTTGCATGTGTGCTTGCTCTGCTCGTCCACAGCCCTGCTTGTACTATTTCCTCTTCAACCCTGCGATCTGTGCGCTGATATAACCGCCGATGCAGTGCATTTTTCGCCGTGATCAAAAGGCCGTATAGCTGCGGTAGATGCCCTCAACAGGTCAGGAAAGTGTTCTGCTATCGGTTCTGTGTGGAAGAAAAGGTGTGTTGTGATAGGTGAAAGTTAGTCACGGTCTTCGAGTAAATCCATTTCGCTAAAAAATGCTTTTTTGCAGGATGCAATGTTCATGCACGTGACGTATTTAATGGGAAGTGCAGAAAACGTTCTAGAACGAATGTGCAAAAAACGTATAAATGCATTGGCGGGCAAACAGCAGCGCAGTCACGAACACTGAAATGGTAGGCAGCAATACGAATATATCGCGTGTTCAACGAATACGACAGCTATCCAACCGGCACATCGCGGATCAGATGCGTGATTGGCCCTGGAAATGGAAAGGAGTCGCAGCAGCAGAATAAGCGTGGTAACAAATTGTTGTTACAAACCGAGCATCACCGGTAGCAGGAAATGAGCGAGATCACCGAGAGTCGCAGACACTTTGGATTGAGACAGCCTGCCAAGAACGTGCAGGATGGCGTGTATAATGCGTTGCACGGTGATCGGTAAGACATCCATTCGATGCGTGATATGTGCTGAAAAAATTTAATAGCGGTGATACGCTCGAGGCCGTGACCAGTCATTTCAGATCAAATGACGAATGGATTGGTGTGTTCAGTCCACCGCCGACCGTGTGAAACAGGGGTGTAAAACAGCCGCAGGCTTGCCGTGCCGGTTGCGGTGTGGCAAGGTGCGGATCGTTCCTGATTAATAGCTTTATTTACTTTTATCGCGCTCCAGCTCCTCCTCAATTCTCAGCAGCTGATTGTACTTCACCATCCTCTCGCCACGCGGTGCTCCGCTCTTGAAGAACTCAGCTGCCACGCCAACACTGAGGGCTGCGATGAACGGATCTTCGGTCTCACCGCTCCTGTGGCTCACCATCACCTTGAAATTGTTCTCCCTTGCAGCCTGCACTGCTTCGAGTGTTCCGCCGAGCGTGCCTATCTGGTTCGGCTTGATTAGCACCGCATTGCACAGCTTCTTTTCGGCTGCCTGCTTGATCATTTTGGAGTTGGTCACCAGAAGATCGTCGCCAAGGATGATCAGGCTGCTGCCGAACTCCGCAGTGAATTTCTTCCATGCTTCCACATCTGTCTCGGCAAAGGGATCTTCCATGAGGTAGATCTCGGGATACGTCTTCAGGAGTGTTCGGTAGTAGTCGATCAGTTCGTCGCCGCTGAGCTCCACATCCCTATCCTTTGTGCGCACCGTGTACTTGCCACCCGCAAAAAACGAGTTTGCCGCTGCGTCTATGGCTATCCTGAGACCCTCCTGTTTTGTCTTGTGCAGCACCTCTCTGATCAGATCGAGGCCATCCTCCAGTGTCCGTATAGGTGGCATAAAACCGCCCTCGTCTCCGAAACCTGTGTATATCCCACCGAACTTATCTCTGATCGTGTTCTTGAGCGCAGCATAGAAAACCGCTGCGCTCTCCAAATTCTTCTCAAACGTGTTCTTCTGAAAGCTGATCATAATTTCCTGGAATAGCAATTCGTTTCCTGAGTGGCTGCCGCCGTTGAGGATGTTGAAGTTTGGTACGGGCATGTGTGGCTCGTTCTTTGAAATCTTGGCGATGTGATCATGCACCCTGAGACCGTCGGTCCTTGCCTGCAGCTTGCAGAACGACAGGCTGAGCGGCAGCAGCGTGTTGGCGCCATAGGTTGAAAGGGTCGGTGTCTTGTCTGCGATATACAGTACCGAGTCGAACTCCATCTGCGTGCTTATCCGTGACTTGAAGATCAGCGGCACAATCTCTTCCTCGAACTTCTTGATCACACCTGTGACTGAGCGCCCGCCGTAGCTGTCCTTTTTGTCGGTGAGAACTGCCACTTCCTTGGCACCTGTTGAGTCGCCGCTCGGTGCGCTCGAACGGAACACTTCGTCCTGGTCCGACACGATGTCCACCTCGACTGTTGGGTAGCCGCGGCTCGAGAGTATCTGTCGCGGGCAAATTGCCTTGATCTTTTGTGTGTAATCCATGGGCTGCTGTATTTCAGGGATTTTGTTTATTCCGGTCGATTGATTGATGGCGGATCTGTTTGAAATTACTGATGGTCAGGATTAGAGGGGCACGAGCCACCGGCACCAGCCCACACATGCAGAGACTAAACGTGACACTCATCCTCGGTTTCTTCCGTTGTGAATGGGCGTGTACGACCGTGATGTGCAGATGTATCGATGTAGAACCGTGCTGCGTATGTTCAAATTGGCAGTTGCTGTCAGGTTGGCACGTCAAGCCACGCCTATCAGACTGAAAATGCAATTTTATATGCCGTCACAAACCGCCACGTAAACAAAATATATCACGAGCCAGCAGCTAATTAATTAATCACGTGACGTATTTTGAGCAGATACGTATTTGGTAGGTGATGCCCTGTTTCCATGGAGTGAACGGTGCTCGTATTTAGGAGTTACCTTACATTGCATGGTTGTTTACAACAGCCTTATTTATCATGGCCACTCCCTTTGATGCGATCACACCGTCACAACACAAAGAAGAGTTTCATTTCCACAGCGAGCAGGAACACAGCAGAGGATGTGAGCAACAGTCTGCACACGTTCCTGTGAATGCGCTGTGGAGAGACAAGCCACACGATTTTTGGTACGTGCAATCGAGATAACCTGTCACGTTTGGTGAGAATAGCAGAGGAGGTGCGGAGCACATTTCCTAGAAGGGCGTGTTATATGCTGACAGTGCCCTATTTTTTACGCTACACTGAGGTGTTTTCCCAATTTTGTTTTTGACTGAGTTAGCACGGTTTGTTTTCTTCTTGGAATACGGATACTTCACCAATACGATCACTGCCACAGTCTAGCATAGCCGAGAGCGTTCATCAAATACCATAGAGTATAAATTCTTTCCCTTGCGTTGATAAGCTTGTAGTAGTCTACACGGCTTGGCATCGGTTCTCATTCTATTGCTTGCCCTTAACGAACCCTACGGTTTCTCTGTGCAATGCAACTACCATACCTGTTAGCGCTACATAACGCAACCCTGTATTTTTTATGTAGTTGTTAAGCTGCAAGCCCATTGTTTATTTCTATTTTACACGTAAACCAAGCAGCAAAGCGAGTATGTACGATAAAACACGACAAGTTCGAGTAATTTGATCATCATAGAGCACCGCTATGCCACCAAGTCGTAGTATACCGCTCACAGAGAAGTGCAACGTACCACCAGCAATACAAGCGATGTTTACAATATGCTCAATTATTTTCGTAAATAAACCGCTATCAACTCTAAATTTAATCCATACCTTCCTCTTTCCGTATTCTTATTGTCTGGTCAAACACTAAATCTCATTTTTATCATCCTGCACGCTAATACCTTCTATTCACCAAACAAAATGGCAGAGAACTGCCATTTTCATTTATTTACGTTATTTCGTTTGCTTTGCAGCGTGCTGATCATTGCCTACCAATTCTTCACAAGGAATTGATAAAAGATGACGAATCAAAAAGAAAGCATTGAACCTACAAGGGGAGATGAATTGCAAGGAATGTGCACCGATTAACAGCCTTTTAGAGATAAGAACGAGAATAAAGGTGATAAGGTATGACAGGTGGTGTATAAGACATATTTGCTCTGTCAATCAAGCAGTTAGTACTGTATAAGGAGCAATTTCTTTATTCTATCATTTTTACCGTTTGTTCTTATTATTTCCCAACATATCGTGCACACCACGTATATTCCTTTGCTCATCATACCACACCATGCTGAACGAATGCTGAACCAATGCTGGACCAATGCCGGACCAATACCAAATCATTTAACAATCACAACCACCCCAACCAACAAAACACGCTCACCAGCACCCGGCACACAAAAAATTAAAATTTTTAATTCCACCCTTTCATGATCATAATCGATCTCCTAAACAAATACGATCACACTCTGCCTCACCACACACTAAAAGAGAACGTAAAATACATCATAGACAACAGAAAAGACGTTCTGTACCCGTACATTTACATCAATCTGCTGGAGTACAGGAGGTTGTATGGATCTGAGGAGTATATGCGAATGGTTGGAGATGTACGGCAGTTTGAGTGTAAGTGTGAGATTGGAGTGCGGATTGTTGAGGTGGTGGGCGATCTTGTCGGTGGGAGGGGATGGGACAATGTTGAGATGAGGATGCTTACACGGTTTGGTGGGTGGGGTGGTGTAAATGGAGAGACAAGGAATGGAGAGACAAGGAGTGGAGAGGCAGGGAGTGGAGAGACAAGGAGTGGAGAGACAAGGAGTGGAGAGGCAAGGAGTGGAGAGACAAGGAGTGGAGAGGCAAGGAGTGGAGAGGCAAGGAATGGAGAGACAAGGAATGGAGAGGCAAGGAATGGAGAGGCAAGGAATGGAGAGGCAAGGAATGGAGAGGCAAGGAGTGGAGAGGCAAGGAGTGGAGAGAAAGAAGTGCAATGTGATGGAACAGCATACGATGGCAATCGCGTGATGTGTGAAGAAACGCTGCGCTGTGATGGAGCAAAAGACGAATTAAAAGGTGAGGAAGTAAAACATGCGGTGTTTGATGAGGTGCACCAACCAAGCGATAGCAACGCAGCACTCCATGCAGTAGAAAGTAAAGCACTCCATGAAACGAAGCACAACAGCAATGCCGAGCAAAAGCAGCACACCGAGGAGAAAATCAACGTGCAGACCAGCGATACATACGAACACATTCTCACAGACGTGCTCCTCTCCCTTCCACCGCTTATCAAGCCATTGATACACCACATTCCCAAAAGATCGGTAGAAATTTTGATTCATCTGGGCATGCGCACCAAGTACGACGTGTTTGAGGATTTGATCGATTTTTTTAAGAACAGGGATGATTTTATGCTTGAGCTTGAGTATGTGAGAGCGAAGGTGCTGTATGAGATGGGCGTGAGGAACTGTGCGAGGAAGTGTGCGATGGGACAGATTGTGTTTAATGAGCGGGAGGGGGTAGATGAGGATGATGTGTGTGGGTGTGTTGTGGGGAGGAGATGGGAAGAGAGTGGGACAAGGGATGGTGAAGAGAAGGCACGTTTTGTTGCACGGGATGGTAGTGAGGAACGTAATGATGGGGGGCACACCCTGGCACAAGACCGTATTAATGGCGGTGAGGACGGGAACAGTGATATGAATGGGGGTGCTGATAGGAACGGTACGAATAGGTGCACTAGCCCTGATCATGCCACTAACCCTACAAACATCACCGTACCTGGTAAAACGTGCGCTAGCAAATGCCTGTCCGCAGATCCTTCCTACGAATGCTCGTCTATCACCACACATACAACACGCCCCACCAGCAACTTCCTCTACAAAACAGCATGCAAGGAATGTGCGCTGTACCAGAGCACACAAAACTTCCTCAAACTGCTCAAAAACTTTGAGGACCCTGACAATATGCCTTTCCTCATAGACAAGGCTGCATCGTACCTATCGTACTTTTACGACCGGTCCCTGCTGCATCTCTTCATACAAACGCTCACCACAACCGATCTAACCGTGCACTGCCTGTCGTACCTGCCCAGGATATACAACCGAGCGTATGACGGCGAGGTGTGTGCCCTGCTCGAGAAGTACATGAACAGAATGAATGTTGATGATTTTTGCGAGGTGCTGAACGTTTTGGATGCGGTACCACGGTCGGTTTACCGGTTCTACGTGTGCAACGCGGATGTGAGAGGATATTGCAGGGTGCTGAGGGAGTACCGGTGTATGGAGATGGTGGACGTGTTGGTGAGCATGGTGGAGGGAAGGAACGAGGGGGTGAGGATCGGTGTGGCCAAGAGGATACGGCGTATATGCGCGCTGCTGACCGGTGATGATGCGTATTTGCTCGGAGGTACGGGGGTCGGTAGTTGTGAGGTAAGTAATTGCGGTATGGAGAGGAGCACGGCAGGTGGGGTAGAACCGGTAAATGTGGCAGATGATGGCAATGTTAACGGCACAAATACGGCAAATAGCACAAATCAAAAGGGTAACGAGCAGAGCGGCGCACACCCCTGTGATGCACACCCCTGTGATACACACGACACGGTGATAAACAAGGAAGAGAGCAAAATTGATTTTAAGGAACTAACGATGGACCTGTCCCTCATAAAAGACAAAAACACCAAAACACGTGATGGTACGGACGTGCACCAGGCACTAAAACACGTTATCTACCTGCTCAGCAAGGATGATAACAAAGTGCGTGTGCACCTCGTGCACAACATAACGGTGCTGAGCACCTTTGGTGAGGAGTACGTGCACGAGGTGCTTGCAAACCTTCTTAGAAATATGGACGATAAGAACTGGCGGTACAGGGTTGCGTTGATTGATGGGCTGCGGTTGATTGGGGATGCTGCACGGTATGCACCGTATTTTGAGGATGATGATGTTTATTTTGTGAGGAAGTACTTTGGGATGGTGGTTAGGAACGGGTGATGGTGTTTTGAATGTAACAAAGCATAAATGGTGATTAGAATATTTTATGATACGAGGAGGGTTAGAAGAGGGTGAGGGGGAGAGAATAAGGAGAGGATGAGGGGGAGAGAAGAGAGGGAGAGAAGAGGGGGAGAATAAGGAGAGAATACATATGGGAATAAGGAGAGGATGAGGGGGAGAATAAAATAGAGTAAATAGCAAATCATAATGTAAACGAAAAAAACTAAAAATAAGAACTTTTAATTGGCAGGTCTTATTTACTTTTCCTATTTAACGCATTCTCCTTGCATAAATAAATACGGGACTGCTAATTCTTAGCAACCGTTCAAAAGCACCTCATTCAATCAATCCTGATGGTTTTTGCGGAGCTGCTCCAAGCTATGCGAGTTACACCAAACATGGAAATACTCTACGCACGCCATTCAATCCATTCTGCTCAGTTCTGTTCACCGCTACTCGTGGTAAACCTCACGCACAAAGTTACCAAAATCAAAATGCGTTACACCAAGGACCTCGCACCGCCTCAGTTCCTCTACCTCCCCCTCAACAAGCACGCCCTTTCCCTGGTAGTACGCGATCAGCTCCTTCCACATTTTGTTCTTGCAGAACGTGCCGGGATTGCCCACAATAAACAGACCGTGCTTCGCACGCGTCAGCGCAACACACATGCGCCGTCTATCGCTCACAAACCCGATATCATTTATGCTGTTGCTACGCACCAGCGATATGATGATGAACGCCTTCTCACGGCCCTGGAACGCATCAACATTGGCCACCTCACATGCGGTGAGCCGTGACAGCAGCACGCGCTGCCCCTCGTACGGCGTGATTATGCCCACCTCCGTCTCACGGACACCGTTCATCTTGAGGTGCCGTATGATCGCAAGGCACTGCTGTGCCTCTGCCTTGTTCAGGTACGACGTGCCCGATATGAACAGCTCCTCACGACCACGGCTCACGTAGAAGAACGTGGGCATGGGCAGGTTGAACCATGCGGTGATGCCCGTTCCGTACCGCGCATGCGCACCGTGCGTGTAGTGTGCGCTCACGAGCGCACCATCGTAGAACGTGTTGCTCACCCACTCACACAGCACCGGATGCATCCGGTACTGCACGGTGAGCAGGTACGGCACCACGCCCAGCCGTATCAGCCGCTCGAACAGGCTCACGCGCAGACCGGCATTGGCAGCCTTCTTGTTCAAAATCGTTGGTCCTAGCTGCTTGTGATCACCGACCAGTATGAGCTTTCTGCACGAGTAGATCAGTGGCACGAGTGTTAGCGGCTCTGTTGCCTGCACAGCCTCGTCAATGAGAACGTAAGGAAATTTGAAGCGTTTGAACAGCTCCTGGCCCGCTGTCACACACGTACACGTTATGACACGGGCATCCTTTACGAATGAGTACCTGAGGTAGTCCCTGAGACGGTCCTTGCCCGTTGTTTTTTTGTTCTTCACGTTCATGCGTTGCATAAGCTTAGACAGTTTTTCTGAATCGATCGTTTGTTTTGCGCTGTGGCCGTGATTGGGCGAGTTACTGAGAGTTTCTTCGTTTTTGTCCCCGTCACGCTTTTTGTCCCTGTCGTACTCCCTGTCACGCTTTTTGTCCCTGTCGTACTCCCCGTCACGCTTTTTGTCCCTGTCGTACTCCCTGTCACTTCCCCTATTCCTGTCGTACTCCACGTCATACTCCCCACCCTCCACACAATCCCCCCTTCCCTTCGCATCAGCAATACGTTCAATCTCCCTGTTCACCTTCTTATGCAGCGTAATATCATCAAGATCGCTCACCAATCCCTCCCTGTTCCTGCTCACTATCCTAAGCACATCAATGCCACATTTCAATATTCTCCTTGTCAGGTTGTCTACCGCTATGTTTGACGGCGCCACGACCAATATCTTGCCCTTCTTGTGCTTGAGCAGGTTGTACACAATCGCTGCCGTAGTGATCGTTTTGCCGGTTCCTGGCGGTCCCTGCACGAGCGTGAGGTGGTTGTTGAGCGCAGCATCGATCGCGATCTTCTGGCACTCATTCAGCGGTGGCATGCGGTCAGGCACAACTATCTCATGCATGTGCGCGCTCTTCCTCTTCTTGACCTTTCCCTTCCAGATCAGCTGCGTTATTCTGTGCGCGCACTTCTTCTTCAAACTCGTAAGTGCACGTTTCATACGTTGGTACCCCACGTTGCGCCACGGGAACTCCATCCGGTACTCCCCGTCCGGATACTTCACATCGGTGTTCACGATCTCTGCGATGTTCTCCTCAGTGTAAATCGTGTCGTTGCAGATGAACCCTTTGAGCGTGCTCGTGTGCACAAATATCTTCACCTCATCACCGATGTTTATACGTGCACACATTTCGTCGCGGCAGAACGAGAAGTGCGCAAATATGCGGTCGTTCTTGTGCTCGAACCGGACAAATATTTTTTCGCGTGTGAGCCGCTCTTTGTTGTGCTTCTCCTGCTCGCACTCTGCTGTGATCAGCGATGTAAATATTGAAATATACTCTTGGTTGGTGTACTTCAGCTGCACGCGCGGTAACGCGCACTCCTTGTTCTCGGTGTCATCGCTGTGGCCGTCCCTGGTGATGCTGCTGCGGGCCTTTTTCTGCGTTTTTTCGTCGTTGCCGTCCTCAACAGCGGTGGTCTTTTCCTTCATTTCCTCGCCATTCTTTGCACTCGCTCCGCTATCATTTTTGCTCCTCGCTCCCTCATCCCTACCGCTACATACCCACGGCACCAAAGCCTTCCCATCAACAACAGGCTCACCGTCCCCACAACACCCGCAAACAATCATTCCATCAACTCCCCTCAACATAAAGACATCGCTCTGCCCACACAACTCACACACAATCAATCGATCAATTAATATGCGCTTGTGACCGTTCTTCTTGAGATGAAAGATGATGTGTGATATTGTGGTGCCCTTGAACGTGTTGCAGAAGCTTTGGTGACAGTCTGCACAGGTTATAAGGTGAGAGTGTGCTTCACAGTATGAACATGGCATGGGGGGTAAAAACGGGAATTAACAAAATTGTGAGCGGTGAGTAACGAGGTGGAGAATGAGGTGGAGAATGAGGTGGAGAATGAAGAGGAAAATGAAGAGGAAAATGAGGTGGAAAATGAGGTGGAAAATGAAGAGGAAAATGAGGTGGAAAATGAAGAGGAAAATGAGGTGGAAAATGAAGAGGAAATGAAGAGGAAAATGAAGAGGAAAATGAAGAGGAAAATGAGGTGGAGAATGAGGTGGAAAATGAAGAGGAAAATGAAGAGGAAAATGAAGAGGAAAATGAGGTGGAGAATGAGGTGGAGAATAAAATATTCAAACAGCACATGTGTAAAAGTAGAATAAGCCGGTACGGTGCAAGGTACAGTGACATGAACAGAAAAACAAATTTGTTTCATAGCAACGAAGACGTAAAAAATAGGAATTGCACTAGAACGGTAGAATTAAGCACTTGGACAGCACTTCTCAATAAATTGTGGTAAAAGGCTCGTGAACAACGGTTAAGGCGGTATAAGGGCATTTTCTTACGTGCCGTTGAGAGCCGTTTAGTACCGAATTAAAAAATTTTATAAATTTAGCAAATATGGAACAGAAGAATGAGATTGAACAGGGGGGTGTACGAAACGGTGAGATGTGTTAATTGGCAGATAACAGGAGCAGTACCAATTAAATCAGCAGCACGATTGTTTGCAGAGGGCCATTCCTCACGTTTACGTATTACAATGTAAGAAATAGCACGGCGAACAAGATATGACGTGCACGGTTGGTATGAGGTATTGTTTTGAAGTTTGTACAAGCATACGCTTTGTACGTGTTCCGTGCTTATTTTACCTTGTGAGTGCTGCAAATCGTATCGCACCTTTTTTAAGTCCTTCAAACGCGGTACTTCTGAGCGCTTCCCGTTTTCTCACACCGAAGTAACCGCTAAAACAGCGATACGTGCTAAGAACACGGTTTAAAAGCTGAGAACGAACAGCGTACCGAGCAGTGAGCGTATCTTTACGGTGTGGCGTGTGAATGAAGGCTACATTTGGTAACACCGCGTATGGCAGCAACGTGTAGTTGAAGCAAAGGTGAATTTATTTCCATTTTATGGCAATAACGCACTGTTCCGGTGTTGATTGGATGTAATGCCCATCATTGACGTGGTACGTACCGCAATACGTGACAACTTGTCATTGATGGTATACCGCGCAGTGAAGGCGCTCTCGTATGAACGAGTCGTTGTGAAATGGTGCTCTCGTACGAGCGATTCGTTGTGAAATGGTGCTTTCGTATGAACGAGTCGTTCAGCTGTGAGAGCGCGTTCGTATGAATTGGTATGAATGCTCCGTTTTAAAGGAGAATGACACGGTTAAGATGTAAAGCGTGTTGATGTGATCAATGACGGGTAATTGTAAGGATACGTACCAATTACCATTATTTGTTCTTGGCACGTGTTTAGTTATCATTATTTGTTGAGCAATTCGTGTTTAATTTCTTAACTCATCTCATTAATTTTACCTCACTAATTACTTACCTCATTCACCACTTCTTAATTACCTTCTAAATTAGATCCTTTCCTATTTCTTTTGTTGTGACAGCACGTCTAATACACACGTTATGCCCGTGCAATACGCACCCTACCATTCACTTGCCCGATTGATTCTTCTCTTTGATGTCCCTCTAAGGTATTTTTGCCCCTTTGCCACAAAAACACCACTACGTTTAACACGTTCACCCCCCATGCACAGCACCCTTCCCTACCACAAACACTTCACTCCCACTCATACCGATCCATGTCATTTCAAATGCAGACCGTGCCGAATTAAACTATCAACCACGTACCATTCCTTACTTCGCAGCCCTTCCTTTTCCCCATGCTCCAATCATTCTCAGCTTTTTGCAATAAAAAAGATTTTATTACCCAATCATTCACACACAGCTAACATCAAAAGGAGTGCCTCTATAAAAACAAGTGCTTCCATCCCAAACCATGCCCGCATCATTCAAAGTAACGTACAACAAGATACTGTTCATAGTGGTGTGTATAATCGACTGTGTGTTCCTATACATGACATACCACAGCAATCTATTCCTATGGTACATCTTTGTTCCCGTATCGATTCCCATCATGGCATTTTTCAAGTATTACCATTTCTTGGTGTGCTACAAGACCATCAACAGGAAAAACGTTAACTATGCACTCATGTCGATCGGTGTAAGCCTGTTGTACAAGCTGTGCTATTTTGGACTACTGTTTTTGGCTGGCAGACTGTTTAGTATGTTGATTATGGGAGCTGTAGGTTTTGTAGATTTTGTTATTAACATGTACTTCGCAGCAAATATCTATTTTATGAAGAGCTTGCTGTACTTTGATGTGAATATACCGGTCGATGGTTATGGAATAGACGAGAAGGTGAATCAGTTTGGAAATGCTATACCTGGTCTGTAGGTGATAGTGTAAATAAGGTAGTTGCAATGGATTTTGGCAGAGGAGTATACGGTAACGGGTTTTATTGATGAGAGGTAAATAAAGGAAGTGATAGGGTGATGGTAAGCCATGAATCAGAACAGTAACTACGATCGTTCCTTACAGACCAAAAAAGTGTGATGTTCAGATATTGTGGTATGAGAAGGTAAAATAACGAGTCGTGGCCAAGAAAACTGGTCTATATCTACCAAGCTACGGAAATACGATCATTAAACAACAATCATGGCTCATAAATGAAGTGTAAATTACGAATTTTTATTTGAACAAATCTGTTCAATCATCATTCCAGTGCCACAACACACAGACAATCCCTTCTAAATTCTCTTTTTACCAGGTGTAATGCACGGGATACGTTGCTCACATACCGTATCGAATTACTAGCTCATCTCTCATGTGTTATAGCTATTCAGACTACTTTTAAACAACGACATACCTTGGTGTTGCACAGGATAGGGAATATAAAATGAATATGCCTGTCGATAATGCGATCTTTAAGTGCATTTGGAGTTGCTGGTATTCTATTCGATGATTTAGTTGAAGTATAAAAATATTTTAATCTTTTTGGGTAGTGTCTTGATCACGCTGCAGCGATACAAATTCAGCAATTCTTAAATAAATTCAATTTACTCAATACCGTTGCTGAATGAGACTGATTTATTAGTTGGTTGCATGGTAGTACCATTTCTAAAACTATCCTTCTATGCTGTTGTTCTTATCTTTTAAGAAATGATTTTTTGACGTGTAGAATGCTGATTTAGTCCAATTTATCGGTAAAATACACCACAATTTACATTCTACAGAACAGTAATGTACGCATATACTAAAACACACAGAGTAGTACTTTTACATCGTTTATGACAGCATTTCAAGTGTCAATAGACATACCATATCTCGCATTACTGTCATGTCTATCAATAAATTAGAACTATTTAATGTTCAGCAGCGTGCCATCCCATGGATTGTCTTTGGATTGTCTTCATTCTTTCTTTGATCAGGGCATCTCAAGGTGGTGCACGAGACTTAGCAAATATGGCGAATGCATATGGTGAGAATAGCAGAGTAGATGGTGGGAATGATTATGTGTGGAGTACACATCATAACACACCAATAATGGGTAACAATAGTGCGTATGAAAGAATTCAAAAATAAGCATAACAATATGTTAGCAAACAAAATGAAACATAATAAGATAAATCATGCATTGTTATCTTTTGAAGATGCTTTTAGAGATTACAACTCTAATGAAGTAGAACAAATGCTTGGAAAATCACAAAATAACGAATCACTAAGATTGTACTTCATCGGCCTAAAAAATGAACTGTTGGAACTTTCAAGAACATTTTGTAATTCGCATATTTTAGTGTCAAAACAAGCAATTCGAAAAGAAAAGAAACACGAAATAACACAGTTTAGTGCGGAATGCGAGAAAATTATGAAAGAACAGCCAAGGTGCTATTACGTACAGAAGATGGAAGAGATGCTGCATGAAATACTTCAAATGAGCATTAAAACGGGTAAGTACGCATTTATACATGATCTTATGTGTGTATTCATTCATC